TAATCTCAAAGACATTCTTAGAAAACTTGTAGTAAATTGACAACTTGATTAAAAATTTCATATAGAAAGGGTCAAAACTGACACTATGTCTTTAAAAAGTATATAAAGCTAGAGGAGTGACACTACTAAATATTAAGACTTACAAACTTATAGAATTATTACATCTAATTTTGAAAGAGAAAGACACAAGGGATAGATAAATAAATCAGCAGGACAGACTAGTGAGTCCAAAAACAGAATACTACACATAAACTAGTTTTAAACAACTTTATCAAGCTACTTTAGAACTGAAGATCTACAAAAAGAATATTCTCTTAGTTTTTTTTTTTAATCTAAAACTCTCTTTACTAGTCCATGCCCCACAGATCCCTGACTACTTCTGCACCCTGGGAATTTCTCTTAATTTTTTTAATGTCTTTTATATGCTATATACACGTAACTGTAAGAGTGGGCATTTTAGGTTAGCTTTTCCTTGTAGAACAGGAAGTCTAACATTCATTTTCTGAAAAAAAAATAAAATGTAGGGTTTAGATATTTGGGAATATACTTTATTTTCCATGCTATTGCTTCAATTTTACTATAATATTACTATAATATTAAACTTTCAATTTTCTTTTTGTTTTAAGTAATATTAGAATTATTTCCTATCACATTTATTATTTCTTGGAGGAGTCTTTGGTTATAATAAAAACCCTCTCTTTCATTAGAATAAATTTCTATTCTCTTTGAAGATCCAAATCTGTTTAATTCTTTGATATTAGAAAGGGATCTGATATCAATAAATATTTGAAAGCATTCAAGCACCCTCTTGTTTCAGCTGTGTAATCTCTTTCCCAGAGGACCTCCTGACTAGGTGATTACCTTTAAACTAAGACCCTACCTACGTAAGAAAAATCTACTGATGGCTTTTCCTTACTCTCCACATCCTGTTTCCTCCCTCTGAGACTATTTGATATCATTCAAATATCTCCTAGAAGGCATTGATTTGACTTCTGAGAGTAGTACCACTTTGCAAAATATGCATTAGTGAAACGGCTTCCAGACCATCATACTTTACATTTTTGCTTGGTGTAGTATTCCCAAAGGAAACCACAACTTCTTTAAAAGAAGTTATATAATGACTTCACGTGTGCAAATCAGTCCTCCCTCAAACATGCTTTTCTCAACTGGTTCTCATCTGTCTTCAGTCGTACATTTGAAAAAACTACTCTTTTGCAAGTGAAAAAAAGTTTTACCTTATTTATCTATCCCTCCCATAATCTACTACCATTTTGTTCTGTCTTGTGTACATTCTTATAAATATTATTTAAAATATTCTAAAAATAAAAAACTAACTTTTGTCCAGTATGGTGACACATGCCTGTAATCCCAGTGGCTCACAAGGCTAAGGCAGAAGGATTCTAAATTTGAGGCCTCAGTAACTTAGTGAGACCCTCTCAAAATAAAATGGGTCGGGGATGTGGCTCAGAGTTAAGCACCCCTGGATTCAATCCTTGGTACTAAAAAACATACATACACATGAAGCTGGGGCTGTAGCTCAGTGGTAGAGTGCCTGCCTAGCACGTGTGAAGCACTGAGTTCAATCCTCAGCACCACATAAAAATAAATAAAGGTATTATGCCCATCTACAACTAAAAAACTATTTTAAAACACACACACACACACACACACTTCTGTATATTTACTACACACCTTGAAATAAAAACTTTACCAATATAATTGAGGCATTCAATGAAATCTTCCTTAATAACATTCTCCCCACCTCCCTTCTCCCAGTTCTCCACAGGCACACCACACAAGTTTTCTTTACAACTAATTACACCCACAAGTTGATGTTTATGATCTCCACATTTTCATACTTTGCTAAATTATATAATGTTCTATATATTTTAAACTTTAATCCTGCATTACATATATATGTTATAGATTCCTCTGCAATCTATTTTATTTCAGTGATTATGAGACTCATCATATTGATACATATAGTTCTACCTCCTTATTTTAATAGCCTCACTTTTTCATTTTGAGAATATAAAACCACTTTATAATCATTCTACTATGGACATTTACTTCTGATGATTTTCTAGTTCTGAAACATACTTTTTGAACAAACCATTACTGGATCACAATGTGTTATTTTTTTTCCCTTTTTCAAAATACTGCTTTGCTGAAAGATAATTCATGTTCCATAAAATTCAGCCTTTAAAATGTACAATTCAGTAGTTTTTAGAATATTCACACAACTGTACAATCACTGCAACTATTTCTAGAAGATTTTCATTATTCCCAAAAGAAATCCCATAATCATTAGTAGTCACTCCCTATTCTCCCTTGCATGAGTCTACTTCCTTTCTCAATGGTTTTGCATATTCAGGATATTTTGGACTAATGCGATATCTGGCATTTTGTGACTGGCGATATCTGGCATTTTGTGACTGGCTTCTTTCATTTTGCATAAAGTTTTCAAGGTTCATCCACATTGTAGCATGTACATTAATTTTGCTGGCTCCATGGATGTATGCATATACCAAAACTCTTAAAAGTGTACACTTTAAGTACATGCAATTTAGTTTATGTCAACTACATCTCAATAAGGCTATGAAAGAATTAGGTAGAACATTTTAGTATGGCTTTTGTTTATTTATTTATTTATTTTAGTTGTAGTTGGACACAATACCTTTATTTTATTTATTTTTATGTGGTGCTGAGGATCAAATTCAGTGCCTCTCACATGCTAGGCGATCGCTCTACTGCTGAGCCACAACCTCAGCCCCTTAGTGTGGCTTTTCTTTTAACATTTTTTTATAGTTGTAGACAGACAGTATACCTTTATTTTATTTAATTAATTAATTAATTTACTTTTATATGGTGCTAACAATAGACACCAATGCCTCATACATGCTAGGCAAGCGCTCTGCCACTGAGCTACAGCCCAGCCCCAGGTAGAACATATTATTAGGTGTTTTATCAAAGATAAAGAGATAGTGGCTGGGATTATGGCTCAATGGTACAGCACTCACCTAGCATGTGTTGGGCACTGGGTTTGATCCTCTGCACCACATATAAATAAATAAATAAAATAACGTATTGTGCCCATGAACAATTAAAAAAAATTTTTTTAAAGATGAAGAGATCAAATCAATGTATGGAAGATGCACAATATCACAATGAGTGATATTGAGTGATACTGGGCATCTTCCATACATTTATTTGCTATCTCATTAGAGAAATACAAATTAAATTATAATGAGACATAAATATATACCTACTGGAATAGCTAAAATTTAAACTACTACTAAAACCAAGAACTCATGTGAAAAAATAAAATAATTATCTGCTGCTGAAGGGAATGCAAAATGTAACTACAACTTTGGGAAAACATTTGGCAATATTTTATGAAATTAAACATATACTTACCATAAGACCCAGTAGTTTCACTCCTGGGTAATCACCCAGCAAAAATTAAAATCTATGACAACACAAAGATCTGCAGGCAAATGCCTAATGCCTTTTTCTCAAATTCATTTTTCTCACTTTTTCTACCTCTGTTTTTCATTCCAGTTTCTTCCTAACAGCCCAAATCTGGAAACAATCAAAATGTCCATTAACTGGTGAATGGATAAACAAACTGTGATACCAATGTATAATGTAATACTATTCAGATATAAAAAGGGATAAATTACTGATATATGCAACATCATGGATAAATCTTTAAAAGAATTATGCCAAGTGAAAGAAACGAGACACAAACAGCTGTGTTTCAATTTACATGATAATCTCAAAATGCAAACCCATATTGGCAGATATCAGATCAGTGGCTGTTAGGGGCTGGAAATGGGTCAGAGAACTGATGATAAGAGGGTATGAGGGAACTTTAAAATTGACAGAAATACTTTGTGTTTTATTGTGGTAATAGTTCTTTACACTTGTTAAAACCCAAAGAACTAAGTTCCTAAAAAATTATTTTAACATATGTAAATTATGCCTCAATAAACTTAAGAAAAAGAAGCAGTGGGAGGTGGGAGACACTTACATACTAGAGAACAAAGATAAAAATAATTCCAAATAGCTTATTTAAAATAATACAAACTAGAAGACAATGGTAAAGAACTAAAAAACCAAGTTAACCAAGAATTATATATCCAGTTTTAAAATAATCCTGCCAAAATGGAAATTAAATAAAAATGTTCTCAAGTTAAAAAAAAAAAAAAGCAAAACCAAACACTGATAGAATCCTTCACCAACAAGCCTGTATTACAAGCAATATCAAAAGAAGTGCTTCTAACTTAAGGAAATAATGAAAATATGGATCTACAAAAAGAAATGAGAGTGACAGAATAGTAAAGATGTAGGCAAAGAAAATTTACTCTTATTTTCTTAACTTCATTGATACTTCCTCACAAAGAAAACACCAGCCAAAATGGGTGAATTCTATCAAACATTTCATTAAAAAAAAAATGCCAATTCTATATAAACTCTTTGGATACAACACATCTCAGACCATTTAAGGATGTCAGCAACCATTAGTCTAATTCTAAAATCCAGACAATCACAATAAAGCAAAACAAATTCCAACCTCCCTTGCCGAAACTCTAAAGAATAAAGTTATAAAATCACATTAAAAGTCACGGAGTATGTTAGGGTATACTATGTTCATGGATGGGGAACATTGAATATTGTAAAGATGACAATTCTTTCTAAATTAATCTTTATATTTCAGGCAGTTTCTATCAGAACTCAAAATGATTTCTCATGGCATTTAACAAGTTAATCATAAAATTCATGTGGAAGATTTAAGGGCCAAGAATAACAAAGTAAAAGAAAAATTTGATGTGTGAGATGAAAGAGCAGTTTACCTATTGGATATTTAGTCTTATTTTAGAACTATAGTAATTTAATACTCTATATTTTATGTTCTGGGCTTGACAAAGGAGGCAGACTGGATAGCTCAAAAACACAGGCACACATAAGGAAACTAGATAAGATAAACTTGACATTACCAATTCAGTGGCAAAAAGATGTCCTAGTCCAGCGGTTGGCAAATTTTCTGTTGAAACAATCAGAAAGCAAAATTTTCAGGTTTTGAGGCCCATATTGTTTCTTTCACAAGGAATCAACTCTGACATTGCAGCACATAAGCAGCCATAGATAATAAGAAAAAACATGGACATAACTGTGTTCCAACAGAACTTATAAAATAAGCGGTAGACCAGATTTGATACATGGGCCATGATTTTTCAAATGACAGCAGAATAATAATAAAAAAAAATAGTTAAGGCCATTCCTCAATCATACACAAAAATAAATTTCAGGTGAACTGAAATTCTATGTGAAAAAATAATGCTTGAAATGATTCCAGAGTATATATAAGAGTTTATAGTCAGTGCATGCTGGCAGAATTTCACAATTTGAACTGCTGCGATATAAAACATCCAAAAAGTTAAAGCATGTGTTAGTCAGCCTTAAGTCACTTTTACCAAAACACATAACAACAACAACCAAAAAAAAATTTAGAAGAAGAAAAGTTTATTTGTGGGTCATGGTTTCAGACATTCAAACCCTGGTTAGCCAACCTCCTTATGTTTCTGACTAGAGGTAAGGCAGAACATAATGGCAGAAAGAAGTGATGGAGAAAACCTGGCTAGCTCACATCAATCAGGAAGCAGAAAGAGTGGAAGGAGCCAGGGACAAAATAAAAACCCAAGGGCACACCCCATGGGCCCACCCCTACGACCCAGTAATCACCAATTAGGTTATAACTCAAAATCTAATAATTTCTTCTTTAGACACAATTGCATTGTCTATCACATGAACTTTTGGGGACAGTTGGATACCTCATATCCAAATCATAACAAGGCACACAAATTTTCACTCCTCATGCTGATCAAGAATTTTCCTACTTTTTTGTGTTAATTTAAAAACACTCTGGATACAATATCTAGTCAACTTATTTTTCTGTATGTCCCTGTACCCTTATACTACCATTATCTGTGAAAAATCTTCCTATAACTCTAATAAGTATTCAATAACTTTTCTAATATTTTTAAACCACTACCCAGTTGAAAGTTTCAGTCTTTTCAATCCCCACCTCCCTTAGATTTACAAGTCTTAACTCAAATGATTACCATTTTGTAAAAGTGAGACACCTGGCTGATTTTCCTTTTTTTTTTTTTTAATAAAATAGAAATAAACTGCTAGAAATTGACTGGGGTCCCTACAAATAGCCGTATTTCAAAGTTTATCAGTTTCCTGGAACTGATAAAAAAATTTTGTGTCTGTGCATATTCTGGAGAAAAGCTCTATTTTTTATTTGTTTGTTTTTTCTTGTTTCTGATTTTTTTTTTAACAACTCCAAGGGGGATGTGATTTCTCTAATTTCCAACCAAAAAGAAATTTAAGAACCTTTGTTCTAGAGGTTGTGCATAAAGAAGCTCATTTGAATTATCAAATTGGAAAAGAAATCACGGATTATTATAGTCACAGACAGTGAAGGGAAAGATAGCTAACACTGTTAAATCTCCTGAAATGGTCGTGAATCTCAATGGAAATTACAAGCATTGCAATAGGGGATCAGAACATACATATAAGCTAAAGGTTAAAGAAGAGAGAGGGTTTAATCAGTGATGGCTTTTATGCTTTGGATCAATTGCCAGAGTTGGTTCTCCAATAAACATATTGGCTTTACTTTTCAAAGTCTGAACAGTATTCCTAACCCCAAGATGAGACGTATTATCAACAGGGTCTGACCAAGCACAAAACGCTTTCCATAGGAACTCATCAATAACTTACATTTTTGTAGCGCTTTGTAAGGTGCTTGCCCTTGCCTTTCCGCGTGACCTTCACTACTTCCTGCTTGGGAGGAGGACAGCAGCATCCCTAGGTAAGGAGCATTCTGGACTCCATTTGTGAGGTGTGCGAGGCTCACCAGGTTGCTGGGGAGCCGTCTGTCCACACTGTCAAGTGCAGGTAGAAAGTTCCGGACCGTGTTGGTAATGGAGATAAGGATATGCTCGTGACAGAGATCGGTGGGGCGTAAACTACACTGGAGGGAAGAAAAGTCAGCACGTCGGAGCTGCAGTGTTGCTTCAGCCGACAGAAAGAAGACAAGCGACAGCTGTGAAGAGAGGAGGTGGCCTTAGGCGTGCTTCCTTCAGGGGCCAAAGTGGGCCTGCCTCAGGGGAGTGAGGCAGCCCCGCTGCAGCCTCCCCTCCGCAGAAGGCCTGTTTGACGCCCCTCCAGCTCCAGCCGCCCTTTTCATCATTCTCCCCTCGCGGTCGCTCATCCTTAAATCTCGGGCTGGAGCACAAACCCAAGTCCCTATGGCAACTCGCGGAGTCTGACCGCCACAAATTCAAAAGCGAGCTCCACGGCCTTGCGGTCTCGCCCATCTCCCAGAGTGAAGGACAGATGGGCCAATCGCAGACCGAGGAGCCGGAGACGTCTACGGAGGAGGGCGTGGCTAAAGGAAGTGGGTGGGACGAAGCTGTGCTGCCAAGATGACAGCTTCCGGGCCGGCTCATTCAGGTGACTTCCGGCCAGAGGGAGAGGCTCTAGAGCGAAGTCACCCTGCTAAGTAGGCTAGGAGCCTTGGTGCTGCTGGCTTTTTCGCCACCTGCGCAATTTTCTGTACCCTCTCTCACCAAACGAGTCACCTATCCGGTTATAAGGTGCAGGTTTTTTCCCTGGGGTAAGCATGTGGTAGTACTTCCTCTTTACACGAGGATGACGGAAACTCATGAAGTCAACTTTGTCTCACAACGTGGTGGTACTGAAAAGTTGAAAATTTGGCTCTTTAACCACTCGGTAGCTTTTTAAACTGTACCCCGAATATATTCTGTAGCCTTTAAACACTCGGTGCAATTCTGAGTTGCAAAAGTTCTGGGTTCTTTGAGACTCAAAAATTCCATCTAATTGAACAATCTACAAAAGACTTGAAATTTGATTTCTTCTTCAATAGCCTTAAAGGTCCTGTGACTTGATAGCCTAAACGCCTGTAAATTTAAAGGCAGATACGTGGTTTGAGCAAATGATTCCAAGAATCAAACTAATTGAGCTCTTTCTGTAAGAAAGATTATTCTCATCTAATTTTAAAATAGATGTTAAACATAGTTCCTTTGCTTCAGTGCATATCTCATTTGATAACAATAGCCTCACATAAGTTTTTTTTCAAAAGAAAATGAACATTGTTCAAATGATAGAGGGGAAATAAAGCTTTCCATAGACAGGTTTCTATAGCTTTAAAATAAAATCTCATAGCTTGAAAATAGCATCTTTTAACAAACCACGAAGTCATTGTTAAATTACTGTCACCAAAACCTAAAATTTCAGCTAAACTTACCTGCTCATCAAGAATTTCTAGAGCCAAGGTTCAGAAAAGCATCTGCAAAAACTTAGATCTATATGTGTTTAGGTCCCTACCAACTCCTTTGTAAAATTTCATCTGCAAAACTCACTGCTAATGAGCACTTTTCCAGCAGCTTAGACAAAACATTTTGAATAACTCCCTGAGCGTGAAGGTTAGAAATTTTACTAAATAAGAATTAAATACATTTGAATACTTGGATAGAAAACAAAAATGAACCAAATAATGCATTTATAAGAAGAGGGGGCACTTAAAACACAGACCACCTGTATTGTAGTAGTAGTCATATATTTGCTTTATACACTATTCTCTCCTACATATCCTCACCCCTCTACGTAGTTCAGTCCTTCCTACCTTCAAGATTTCAGCACAAATTCTGAATCTTTTGTGACCTAGCCCACAAACAATTCTCTTTTGTGTGTCTGTAGAATTAAAAATATACACTTTATTTGGCCTTTTTGCTTTGTCTTGTAATATTTATCATTTATGTTTATGAACATATTTTGCATATAATTTGCCTCAGTTAATATATTCTACTTAGAATTATATTCACCACTGTCCCTGCAGAATGATTTAAATATAGTACACAGGTTTTGATGTAAAAAAAAATGCCTAAATTTAGGTTAATGTTAAATGTAGCTGGTAGCTGCATTATTTTGCTAGGATTACCATAACAAAATACCACAAACTGGGTGACTTAAACACAATTTATTTTTCTCACCCAATCCAGGAGATTTTCTCACAATCCAAGAGGTTTAAAAGTCCAGGATTAAGGTGAAGACAGGGTTTGAGATTCAGATCCATACATTTGGTTCTAAATTTGGTCTTTCTAAAGCCTCTCAGCTTATAAATGCCTGTCTTCTCCCTCTGTCTTCACATGGTCTCTCTTCTATCTGTGTCCAAATGATCCAGTAAGGACACCAATCTTACTGGAATGGGACCTACCTCATTTTTATTTAATTACCTCTTTAAAGATCTTGTCTCCACATATGGTTCCTGTCTGAGGTACTAGGGTTTAGGACTTCAACATACAAATTTTGGGAAAACACAGTGAAGCCCCCAACAGGAACAGTTAAAAAGAAGAAATCGAAGGAACAAATGACCTGTCACCTTTCAGAATTCTCATCTTTAAGATTGAGGGTAAAGTGTTTGCCTAGCATGCTGATGCTCAATGCCCTAACTTAATCCCCATTGTGGGGTTAGGTGATTCTTATCCTTAGAACTATAGATGACAGAGATATGTAAATCAGATTAGTGTAAGATACTAGAGAATGGTAGGGCCAATAGTAAATCAGAGTACTTATCCAGGCAAGACATTCAAGTTAAATTTATGTACAACCAACCCCAGCTTCAGGGAAATAAATAAATAAATAAGATTTGGCTGGTTTGACTCATGGCATCAGTTTGCCATGTTACCTCATTTGCAATCATAACCTCTTATGGTAGCCATGGGCATATTAAGTATTTCTTGAATATGCAAACATATATTTCTCAGACCCCACTGGTTCACAAATTACTTATTTTATCTAGTTCTTGCTGTGTTCAAGGAACTGTACTAAATGTCATATTGAGATTCAGATCCATAAATTTGGCCACAAACATCCAAGTCATAAGGGCATCCTCTTGTTTGACATAATTTATTAAATGCAAAACTAGATTATCTTCATTTTTGTTCTGGTTTGGTTTGGTTTCAGTTTCTCATAATCAACCTGAGTTCAAAAATATTAAATGGAAATTTTCAGAAATAAATAATTGATGTTTTAATTAAACTCTGTTGTGAGTAGCATGATGAAAGTTTGTGTTCCCATCCATCCTGCCCAGGATGTGAATTATCCCTTTGGCCAGCACATCTACACTGTATACACTACCCCCCTGTGAATCACTAGTGGTCATTTCAGTTTTTAGATCCATTCTCATGTTATGGCAGAGCTTATGTTTAAGTAGTCTTTATTTTAATATAGTCCTAGAGCACAAACTGTTATTATAGTAAATGTTTATAATTGTTATATTTCATTATTATTGTTAATCTTTTACCACACTCAATTTTTTCACTGGGATGTCTGCATAGGGGAAAACACATTGTATATAGTTTAGTATTATCCATGCATGGTTTTGGGTACTCACTGGGGGTCTTAGAATGTAACCCTCAAGGAGGGATTACTGTATACATGATTTCATTTTTTATATATATCTTTATGCTATGACTAAATGAAATTTTAAAAAAATCCTTGTATCACTGTATGCATCCATAAGGGCAAAGCTCTTTCTTTAAGAAATAGGGTAGAGGAAATGAGATGAATTAAAAAATAATTACAGTGCAAGATAAAAGTGAAAGATCAGAAAAGAATTATAGGTAAGTATTATAAGAAATTATAGGAGGAAAAAATTTCACCAAGCTGGATGACTTATTGGAAGTATCTAATGCAGTTATAATTAATCTTTCTGTGGTACTTGGTATCTCTTTCATAACATTACTCAATGTGTTATATGGTAGTCATTTGCAATGTTCATATCTCCTTCAAATATACTCCAAAGATTCCTCAAAAGCTAGGAATGGAACCACTATATGCCTTAGCCCTTCCACTCCTATTTATCCAGAAGAACAAAAATCAGCATACTATAGAAATATATCCACTTCAGTGTTTATAGCAGCATAATTCACAATAGCCAGATTATGGAATCAACCCAAATGCCTGTCAATAGATGAAAGGATCAAAAAATGTGGTATATACACATAATGGAGTTTTACTCAGCCCTAAAAAAGAATCAAATAATGGCATTTGCTAGTAAATGGATGGAAATGGAGGACATCATGCTAAATAAAATAAGCCAGATTCAGAAAATCAAAGATTGAACTTTTTTCTCTCATTGTGGAAGCTAGAACAAAAGAAGGGAAAGAAGGCACTGTTGGGGAGGAGTCAGGTATCATAAATATACAGGGAAGATTAGTGGAGTAGAAGAACAACAAAAGGGAGGGAGGAAGGAAGGGGAAGAAATATGGAATAAATCTGGCAAAATCATGTTATATGTGTATATAAATGTGCCAAAGGGAATTTCACTTTATGCATATGTAGAAAGTACCAATCAAAAATTAAAAAAAATAAAGAAGTGAAAAGAAGATCAGTGGAGTAGAAAAGGGAGAATAGGACAAGGGAGGAGGGGAAGAAAAAAGGGGGAATGGGATTGAAATCAAATTCCTTGCATATATGATTGTCAAAATGAATCCAAATACCGTGTGTAATTATAATACTTTAATTAAAAAATACAGATAATGTCTAAGTCTTTATATAATTCAGTCTATTGTTACCATAATAAGAATCATTTGGGGGAACTTTTAAAAAACAAACTTTTACCAACTCTACTTCTGAAGATACTAATTTAGTGGGCTTAAAGAGTTGGTAGAAAATCTATAGACAGATTTTCCCCACTTAATAATGCTGATCAGCCCCATCTGGAACCTACTGCCCTAGAGCACCTAGTACATAGTATGCTCTCAATAAATTCTTGTCACATTAAATGAGCAGAGCTGTGATTTAGTAAGATTAATAATACCCTGGTGTGTAGAATGAATTAAAGTTGGAAATATCCCAGAGGCAGGAAAATCCTATTACGCACATTCCAGCTAAGAGATGAAGTAGCCCTAAACCAGAGGAGAGGCGATAGGAAAGAAATGGATGGGAAACCCTGAATAGGAAGAATGAGCAGAATTAGATGAAACTTGATATAATGCAGTAGTTCTCAAAATGTAGTGTTTCTAAGTCTTTCCTAGGGAGTTATTTACAAAGCAGATTTCTGGACTCAATCTTTGAAAACCTGTTTGGTTAGTCCAGTAAAGCATGTGAATCTGCATTTTTATACAACCCTTCCTTGTGATTCTGATTTAGATTGTTTAATCCATTTCCATTTAATAATTCAGTTTAAGAATATACTGATGTGTTGACTCTGGTGAGTAGGGAAGAGGTTGAGATTGAAAAATAATTCTGAAGGTAAAATCTTATGTGACAGGATGGTAAGCCATTAATAAACACTGAGAATTTGGTTTACA